ATGTGTGGGTTAGCATTCCCTAAATACAGAACAATTTTCTTTCCTCATTGTGTATTAATGTTTCCTCTGCCTGGAAACAGGAATCACGAGCACTTTGACACAGAGAGTGACAGGATGTTTCTCCACAATATGGGACAGCTGTGTTGGATCAGGCCATCGCCCCCTCCTTAGTGCCAGCACACTGTGAATTTAACATGTGTGGTCTTGATAAGATAAAAGGGCACTGGAAGAGTATCAGGGCCAGCTGCACACCCTGAGCCCAAACTGCTGCCTGGCATTTCCTACCATAAAGAAAATACACACGAGCACTTGGCAGCTTCCCTGGTGACTCCTGGTCCTGCCTCATGGTTGCCACATCTGTCACAGCACGAGGGAGATAAGATGTAAGGTGAGATAAAGTAAAATATAGGCCACTGAGATAGGTAAGTCACTGCCAACCCATTAATGAGCAGCATTCTGGGTCAAGCCCCTTGCAAGAAATGTTTCACCTGAGGACACACGAAAGCCTCCTCCTCCTCTTGTCCCAGTCTGGCATGGACATGCCCAGCTTCAGCTCCTGACTGAACTAATTTTTTCTGGGACTTTGTAAACCTTTCTACCCGAGATGGCTGTTGTCTGTGGGCCTTCTGATGGTGGTGGTGCCACCAAGGAACTATTAACTATTAGGGTTCTGTCGTTCTCATGCAGTATTCTTATTGGATAAAAGTCCAATTTTGTTGAAAAATAAATATTTTCCCCGGTTTTAATATGATGGTTGTTATGAGATAAAAAGGATTGAAAGAAAATGAAATGAGCTGAAAATTGGCCAAAGGGCAGGAAACAGGTAAACGGGAAGAGTCCAGAAAATTCAACATATTTTGCTACAGAAAAGAAGTTACTTACAGAGGGAAGGACAAGGTGGGTAGAGGGTGAGAACTGTCATTTGCAGAAGGGGCTGAGAGCAAAGCCAGGCCACGATGGCTGTTCACAAGTATAAACAACTTACGCCAAATTTTTGCTCTTAGCCCCAAACAGCAGCTACAATTTACCTCTTCATTCACAGCAGTGTTTTTGTCTAACCACGGCAGAGAGACACTGACACCTGGAAGTGAATCCTGAGATACACTCAGAGGATTGTCAGGCTGGGAGGATTCTGGCCCTCTGTTCTTCCAGCCCAGTCCCTGGGCTGAGATCAGTGTTTGTACCTTTCTGTACAAATACAATGTACAAAATGTACATTGTGGCTGAGGGGAATGCTCACACCACCTGCAAGAGGTATCTGACCTGTTTGCCTCAGCTCCCAACTGTGCTGATTTTGGCTGGGACAGGAGTTAGTTTTCTTCACAGTGGCCTGTATGGGGCTGTGTTTTGGATTTGTGCTGGAATCAGTGTTGATAACACAGGGATGTTTTTATTATTGCTGGACAGAGCTTACACACAGTCAAGGCCTTTACTGCTCCTCGCCCCACCAGCGAGGAGGCTGGGGGTGCACAAGGAGCTGGGAGGGGACACAGCTGGGACAGATGAGCCCAACTGCCCCAAGGGATATCCCAGACCTTATGACATCATGGTTGGCCCATAAATCTGGGAGAAGAAGGAAGGGGGGAATGTTCAGTGATGGTGTCTGTCTTCCCAAGCCACCATTACAAGCGATGGAGCCCTGCTTTCCTGAGGGTGGCTGGACACCTGCCTGCCAAGGAATGAATTCCTTGTTTGATTTTTCTTCCGCGTTTTTTTGCTCTACCCATGAACTGTCTGTATCTAACACACAAGCTTCCTCACTTTTACCCCTCCCACCCTCCCCCCAGTCCTCTCGGAGGAAGGGAGCAGGAGCAGCTGCGCGGGGCTGAGTTGCCAGCAGGGGTTAAACCCCGACTCTGGTGCAATCAATAGAGAGCAGGAGAGCTGGAAGCAGCCTGGAGAGGCACTGGGAGCAGGCGGCTAATTTAGACACTCTGACCAGCCCTGCGGGGGAGAGCACGTCCCTATTGATCGTGTAGGGAGCCTTGCAGGATTAACTATCTAAATTGGGAACCTAAGGTTAGCTGCTGTGAGGGCAGGAATGAATGCCACCTTTTTTCCAAGCCTGTTATAGCCTCACATATAGTTTGTAATTTTGATCATTGTTCACATCTTGAGAATCTCACAATTGGAAGGCACATACAAAAAAATCTAAAGATAACGCCAGGGAAAGATAAATTGCTTTAAAAGTGAGGACAGTGAAAGATAAAAGATGAGTGCGGGGAGGATAAGAGAAAAACAGCAAATAAAGAGGAACAGGGATGGGTGTAGTGACAAAAGGGTCGTTCACCTGGTTCGCAGGCTGAAGGGAAAATAAGTAGCGTCCATTCCACGGAGCAGTGCTGCCACACAGTGACAGAGGAGCAGCATCTGCGAAGATTTGCAGCAGAATTGACACTGGGGGCTTTATGTCTAATATCGAAAGCAAACAGGACACTGGACCGTTTGCCGAAGGAATGCAAAATGTAGTGGCAGGAGGCAGCAGTACTGCCAGGTAAGGACCTCATCTGAGCCTTAGTGGCAGGTGTTTAGCCTGGTTCACAGGTTACTAAAAATTCTCAGTAGCAGTCATGGAGTTAAAACTGAATTCAAATCCTTTATTTTATCAGAATAATCAATAATTTCTTTTTTAAAAAATTACTTTCTCATAGAGTACACACTAAACTTTTCTGATAGTCTCCCAGACTTTAATCCTATAACTGGTTTTTAATTACTACTTTTAGTAATTAAAGGCTTTCTAAAGAGAAGGTTGATGTATTACTTAGTCTTTCTCTAACTAAAGTATAATAATATCTCTTCAAAGGAAAAAAAAACAAGGCTAGAACCCAAAGGAGGTTTGGTAGCAAAGTCTTGTGAATTCCAGGTGTAGACAAAGTAAAGTGCCCTTAGCTTCATGCTCTTAGAAAATTCCAGCCCAAGTGGGTATTTTCCTGAAGTTTCTGTACTATTTCTATCCCAACACGAATACAGAAAACATAAATAGTCTCAGGATACAGTAAAAAATATTACTTGGACAGCACCCATCATGTGGTGCTGGGACTCAGCTCAGAATTCTGGCTAAATGGGAGCAAAAATGTAAAATCTTTTTTCACCTTTTCTTTAGTCAGTGCTGGAGGGTTCCACATCAGAGAGCCCATGATGCACTTGTCTATCTCTTTGCTAGCAGAACTCACAAAGCAGGAAAATAAATTATTTTCTTTGGCTTGGGTGCAAGAACAGGGCCCTGCTCTCCCTGTTATCCTGGAACTACTACACTCCTGACCAGAATTAAGCAGCACTTAAGTTCTAAAGGTGCTGAACCCTTCTGGCTCCCAGTGGGATTTGAATGCCTTCAGCAGCGTTGAAAAGCAGGTCACAAGATCCTCTGGGAATGCCAATGTTTCATGAGAAATAATTTGCATGAAATTCAGCCAGGGATGTGTCTGCCCATGTTCCATAGAATAGTCCCAGTTTTTCATCACAGCACTCCAATTGATAGCTAGAAGTGTCTTTATGGATATATTTACCCATTCACACATGTGCATGTGGACATGGTTTACATTTCAGCCACATCCCAACAAGTTCTGCCTTTGCCCTGGGATGAGCTGCTATTTATAACAGCAGGTGCTCCTGCAAGATGCATGTCCCTTCTGGGATCACTGAAAGCCAAGGAAATAAAGACCCAATTAAATACCTGTGCTTCATAAAGAAAGGGATCCTGTATCTTTATTGTCCATGCAGGCTATTCAGCAACATTATAATGGAGATCCCAGCAGCTGAGCACAGCTGAATCTCAAAACATCCTTTCCTGCACAGTGTGATACCCTCAAAGTTTCTGTAAGGATCATATCCCTCCTCATCTCCCTTTTTATTTTACATGAAGGATCAATACAGCTAAAGGTTAGAAAAGCCCTGTCTGGTACTTGCAGTCCTGGCTCCTAATTGTCTCCAGTTGGAGCTGTGAGCTCAGCCATAACCACAATGCTGCTGGCAAATGCTATAAAAAGGAAATCTGCCTGAAATTGGAAAAGTTTTTTTCAGTACTTTCTCAGAGAAGGCAGCAGCAGGTCTGCTAAATGCGTTGGGGAAGCTGCAGCCAAAAAAACAGTCTGTAATGGGGGTGGGTGTGAAAGGAAACATGAGGTTGTCAGTCAAAGTGAAAAAGAACAGAATTTCCAGGGAGCTGGAAACACTATATAAAAATAAGCTTTTTGGAGAAGACCAAAAAAATTTCTTTCCTTGGAGATGGACAGAAAAAGGACAAGCAGATGGAGAAAGAGAAGGCACTGGAAGAAAAAAAAAAATAAGGTTGTATCCACAAGCTTGAAAGAGGTCACTGGTTGGAGTTGCAGGGGATTGGGAACTCTTCCCTGAGTGTTCTCTATGTGATGGCCTTTGCCACACCAAGCAGGGACTTTGAACACTGCTGAGATCTATTTAAGATGATCTCATTTGCTTTTAAATGGATTTTTTTTTTGGCTACAGATTCCTATCACATATTAAAAGCAAATTTTGGGAAAACTTTTCAATGAATGACCATGAGGCACGAACAACCATGAGAAAACAAAGATGGGCAACTGGGGAAAGGCCAGAGCAGAATTAGCTCTCAAGCCTGTCAGTGTCCTTCAACACTGAAACAGGTTTACAAACCCACTGTTGCTCTCACATTAGAGCCACAAAGCCCAGGGATCCAAGGGCTTGTGTTAGACAATATAAAATCAGTAAGCAGAAAGTGCATCTCCACATTAAGCTACTGTTTGTATAAGTAAATATATTATTAAACACAAAATTCAAGTGGTTCTTTTATGAGGCTGATGCTCAGAACTGAGAAGCCTCAATAGCCACTAGAGTCAGAAAAACTGCAGGGGTTCAACAGACAGTGATGAAAACTGGAGACACATCTGGGAACCTACAAGCACTTGGCAAGAACTCACAAGAATAGGGAGATCAGGAAGCAGGAGCACAGATCTATATTTACAAGGAACATATGCTGGACATATATCTATTTCATTTTAGGGTACCTGTAACTCCTGGAACAAGGCTGCTTGCTGTTTGGGCCTGTCAGCATCTCCCCTGGCAGATGAGGTTGTTCACCAGCTGCCTCACGAGAACAGCTGCTCCCTTCCCAGGAGACTGCCTGAGCCACGTGTGACAGGCAGGGGTCATTGCTCTTGGGAGTGAACAGAGAACAGAAGAATGAAAGAAATGGGAGAGGTTATATTGCAAAGTGACATTTTCTGGAAGAACTATTTTGAGTAATTGGGGTCTGCAGAGAGTCGTGTGTTTCTCAAACTAGAAAGACTTACGATGCATCGTGCCAGCACTTGGCAAAGGAGAGCTTTGGGTTTCAGCAGAAACACCAGTGGAGAGGGACCCACTTCCCCAGATCCAATCCTCTGGTAACCCAGGCAGGGACATCATATAACCCCTTTTAGAAGCCTCCTGAGCTTCCTCTTTGTCTTCTCAGATGGAAAATGCTTGTCCTCAAGACAGCAGCCATAAATCCTTTTGTATTTGTCTTGCTGGACTCAAGGAACAACACTCCCCTCATCCCTCATAACAGAGTCTGTTCTGTGCTGTTTCTATTTTCTCTGCCCCTCTTTTAGCCTGGCTTCTGGAATGTGGGTGACCAGAAGCATAAGCAATAATTAAGCTATGAATATATATCCCTAAAATACTTTGAAATTTAAAATCACATTTGAAGTTTAAAATCACCAAATCACCTCTTAAAATCACATTTGCCTTTCTTTCTTCTTCTTCTTCTTCTTGCATGCATCATAGGGGCCACAGACTGACTCTGTGGAATCAGTTAGAACACACAAGGTCTACTCCATGACCATGACTATGATGATGAGCTCCCAGTGAGTAAACTACAATCTTATCAATTCCTAAGTATATGACCCCAAGCCCCACAGAACTGATTCATCCCATACCAGTTACTCTTGGCCTTGAAGCGATCTTTCACAAGAAGCAGAGCATCCCCCTGTACTTGGCACTGGTGAGGCCACACGTTGAATCCTGCGTTCAGTTTTCAGCCCCTCATGACACAAAGGACATTGAGGTGCTGGAGCATGTCCGGAGAAGAGAACGAAGCTGGGGAAGGGTCTGGAGCACAAGTCTGAAGAGGAGCACCTAAGGGAGCTGGGAGAGTTTACCCTTAATAAGAGGAGGCTCGGCCATAAACTAAAACACAAGAAGTTCCACCTCAACCTGAGGAAGAACTTCTTTCCATGGAGGGTGGCAGAGCACTGGAACAGGCTGCCCAGGGAGGTTGTGGAATCTCCCTCTCTGGAGACATTCCAAACCCACCTGGACGTGTTCCTGTGTCACCTGCTCCAGGTGACCCTGCCTTGGCAGGGGGATTGGACTGGATGATCTCCAGAGGTCCCTTCTAAGCCTAACGACGCTGTGATTCTGTGAATTCTGTGATTCTGTCGCCTCATCGCTCTCTACAACTCCCTGAAGGGAGGGTGGGGGTCAGTCCCTTCTCCCAGACAACCACCAACACAACAAGAGGACCGGGGAGTTTAGGCTGGACATCAGGAGGAATTTCTTCACGGGAAGGGTGATTAGGCATTGGAATGGGCTGTCCAGGGGAGGTGGTGGGGTCACCGTCCCTGGAGGTATTTAAGGAAAGACTGGACGTGGCCTGGCGTTTAAGGAAAGACTCGGTGCCCTGCTCTAGTTCACATGGCGGTGCTCGGTCACGGGGTGGACTCGATGATCCCGGAGGTCTTTTCCAACACGGCCGCCTCAGTGCCACAGCGCGGCAGCCCCGCCCGCCCCGCTCCGCCCCGCCCGGCGCCCTCCCTCAGCCATGGCGGCCGCGCGGCTCTGCCGCCTGCGGAGGCCCCTCACGGCCGCCTTCGGCAGCGCCGCGGCCGCGGGGCCCGGGCAGGAGCCGCCGGCGGAGCCGCTGACGGTGCGGCGGCAGGCGGGGGGCGTGCGGTGAGCGGGGGCGGCGGGGGGCACCGAGCCGGCGGGGCCAGGGCGCGCCCGGGGCGCTCCGTGAGGGTAACCCCGCCGCGTCTCTCCCGGGTTTTGCAGCACCATCGTCCTGAACAACCCGCGGCGGCGGAACGCGCTGTCCCTGCCCATGCTGCGGTGCCTGAGGCAGGACCTGCTGCACGACGTGAAGAGCCGGGAGCTCCGCGTCATCGTCATCGCGGGTACCGCGGGGCGCGGGCGGGGATGGGGCGCACAGCGGGATTTAAACCCGAACCTCCCTCGGAATTGCAGGGGACGGGACGGGACCTGCCTGTTGTGTCCCTGCCACCCCCGTGGTCTCCTGCACCCCTGAGGTCTCCCCCTATATTCCTGTATACTCCGCCCACTTGCCGCTCTCATGTACTTAATTCCTCGTTCTCGAACGCAGCATTAACAAGTCGCTTGGGTTTTGTTACGGTTTTGGTTTTAACCAACACGTCTAAGCAGAACTCCCAGGATGTCCATATTTCACAGTCGGGCTGTGCCTTGTGTTTACAGTTGGTGAGCTGCCTACTTTTACAGAAACAATCAGCAGGTGAAATAATTTGTTTTAAAACTACGTCTGAAGAATACTTTAAACGGGCCAAAAGCCAAACAGAACAAGAGTTCTAATAGTTACCAAAGTAAAGCAGTGACATTCCCAGATACTGGTTTTGGACAGGAACAGGCTGAGCTGGGATGACACTTGTTGCCTTTGGTGACACATACAGACTGGAGTAAACAGGACTCACAAGGGTTCTGCAAACCAAGTGCTTTGTTCTCCTCAGAGCCAGGATCAGCCAAATTATTGCCACTGGTTTGTCAGAACTATTTTTAAAACTCTCAGAGGAAGGAGAGACCATAATGTCAATACCACAAGTCACCCATAACCCACGGATGTAAAACAGTTTCTCTTGGAGCCTGTTACAGTTTCCTTCCATTTAGGTATTAACCTGGAGAGTTCTTGAAGATAATGGAACCTGAGCCATTCTTAAGCCATCTTTCTTCCTCTGCTATTTTAAGATAACCTTCCTCTGCCCCCCTTCCAAACATCTCAGGGAAATTGGTTATTAATTTAGGATGATGCTGTTTCCTATATATAGGGGAAACACTTTGTGTTAGTGCACACACACAAGTGGAAGTGAGCTGACTCCACAAGGGTGAGTTTAAATGCACATATTCAGCATTTCCAACAGCAGTTACAGGTTGGGAGTACAATGCTGTGGCAGTTGGTGAGCCCAGTTGCATTTGGGTTTTTTGTTTTAGTTTAAAAAGGAATTGCATGTTCCTGTTGATTGCCAATTCCCTTGCTGAATGGCATGCAAAGGAAGAAATGTCAAGAAAATAAAAGACTTCTCAGGGAATGCTTTGGGTCTTTAACAGAGACTTTGCAGTGGATTCTTCTTCAATGAGGCATAAATGCAGATGTGATTAATTTCCAGATATATATTGCTGATCCCATGAGCTGGCTGACAATAATTGTGTGTTTATTTCTGATCCTTAAGAAACAAGTCCAGGTTGGGTCTTACACAGTTGTAGCTGGAAATGTCATATCCATGCAAATATCTGAGAAGTCCTGAAGGATTAAAAAGCACCACATTGGTTTATTCTCATAGCACATATCCTCATGACAAAGGAATACTGTTGTAAGGATTGCATACCTGCAAAGGGTGTTTTGATCTTAGCAAATCCAAAGCTTAATTCCACAAAAACCTGCTGGTTTGCTGCCCAAACCCTGAACATACTTTTTGGGAATCTCTAGATGACAGTTTTAGCAGTAAAGACACCCCAGCAGTCCTTCTGGTTCTCCTCTAGCAGAACAATCTTTTTTCTTTTTTTTTTCCCCACTCTGACCTCGAACACCATGACGCTAAAAATATTGATGCTTGTTTAGCAAATGTTAATAATTAATTCTGGGTACAATAAATAGGAACTAACTGTATTTATCAGTCTGAGAGAGGAGCACTCCAGCCTTGCTCCAGCTGACCAGTTTGTGTTGTACCAAGGAGCTGTTTTGAACAGTATCCTTACAAGAAATTGGGTTCAGAGCCTTATATATAACTGAGTTAACTGGAATGGAAGTAAAACTAGGCCTTGAAAAGTGTTTATGGGTGTTACTGTGGTTAAATGTTACATTGTGGCAATTTAAAGTTGTCACAACCCCCAGAACACAATATTTTCCAACTCTTGTGCAAAACTCCCTCCCCAAACTCCTTTTTGACCATGGACATCTCACTGACATCCCTTTAGCTGGGGCATTGATGTGCCATTGCCCCTGGTTTCTTGATTAATTCAGACTGACTTTTCCTGAAATTCTTTGCAGCTGAAGGACCTGTATTTTGTTCTGGCCATGATTTAAAGGAACTGTCAACTGAAGATGATGTGAAGCATCATTCCCAAGTGTTTGAATTATGTGCAGAGGTAAGCAGTCCTCTTTGAGTGACACTGGTTGTGTTTGGTATTTAAGAGGAAGCATTGGTGTGAGGAGGGACAGCATTGCTCACTTACTTGCTAAAGCACAGGCTTTTGCTCCAGATTCCTTGCTTTTTGCTGCTCTGCTATTTTAATGGTGAATTTATGTTTTCCCTGGATTTCTCTACATGTAAATAAAAGGGCTGCAATAACACTGTGCATGTCTCCAGCAATGGGTACAGTCTCAGTGTTTTCCTTAGTTTAGCCAGTGTTCCATACAGCTGAGTAGTTGGGCAATGTCATTCCTAGAAATCTGGGGATAAGCACCTTCAAATCACGTGTGATCCAATGTTGTTTCCCAGCATCTCATTGGGAACTCAAGACCAGCTTAAACGTCAAATAGACAACGTGGAAATAAGATCTGACTCCCAGGTTGCCCCATCAGCAGAACACACAAGTTCTTGTTACAAAGACACAGTCCTGGAGGCTGAGATATTAAAGTGAATCCTGGAGCCTTTGGAGGGAATGGCAAACCCCCCTTTGATTGTGACAGCACTAGAATTTGATCCCTAATCCTGCTCAGAGTGACAGCAGAAAGTACTTTGAAACCCTTTGTTCTAGTTCCTGCAGTAATACTGATGTCTGTACACATTGCCAAACCCATACTTCAGGAATGCTGTAAAAGCCATGTGTGAAAGCTACAGCTGAAGGAGCCAAGATCCAACAGTTTTGGGGTTTTTTTTTGGTCAGTAGAGAGAGAAAGGTACTTTTGAGGGCTTCCAAAACAGGATTGTGTCTTCCTAAATTTCGATACCGATCTCTTTCTTTGTACATGCAGGTTATGACTTTAATCCAGAAGCTTCCAGTGCCAGTGATTGCCAAAGTAAACGGCTTGGCTACAGCAGCAGGCTGTCAGCTTGTGGCAAGCTGTGACATCGCAGTGGCAAGTGAGAAATCCAAGTTTGCTACTCCTGGGGTAAACATTGGGCTGTTTTGCTCCACACCAGCTGTGGCCTTGGGCAGATCTCTTCCAAGAAAGGTAGGCTGCCTTCCCAGACATTCTTTGTAATTTTGCAAGAAGTAGGTCCCCGTGTCAGGAGTTTTAGTTCCGTTGCCTGAACTTTATTTTCCTGTAGTACAACATTCAAAGTACTCTATTGCAAAAGGCATCTCCATAACTCTTTGGACTGGGAAAAATAATAAAGGGATGAACTCGGTTTAGGGAAAGCAGTTTCCCACTGATGCAATTCCAGCCAGCACGAGCTCATCCCAGCAGCACAACAGCTCAGTGATCCCTTTCCTTCCCAACAGACAGCTCTGTGCTTTAGCCCATGATGTTCTCCCCTGAGGAGGAAACCCCTGCAAGTTCAGGATAACAATCCCACCGAGGTATCAATTCTCACCAGGCAGTGACATTTCACTGCCAGCATGATCTGCCTGGCTGTAGATCAAGATGCTCTAAATAGCATCTGAAACCCTCCTGTACTGTCTTCCTGTTTTATGTCCTACTGATTGTGGCTGCACATCTCTCACTGCATAAAAAATGGTACGATCTGTAAAGCTTCCGTAACTGAGAATAGGAATTTTAAGTTCTGATCCAGCTGGATTTATGCAGACAGACTCTCCAAGCCCAGCAGGGCTCTGCTGAGATGCAGCACAAATCCCATTGCTGGATAAGAGCTTCAGCTTGAAATTTGCCATCTGTAAGGCCATCCTGTTCAAATACAGTCCATGGGGTTTTTTCCAAGTCTGCTGTAGTGTACACTTGTAACTATTTCTGAATTAGTATTTCTTGGGGGTGTGATTACCTCTCTAAAATGTGCAGGATATACTTTTCCCGGTGCCACTTTTCAAAGTAGCAAGAGCATTCCCTGCAGTTCCCAGGATTGCCAGTTTTACCTTTTAACAAGTGAAATGTTGCCATTGTTTCAAAGATACTAATGAGGATAATCAGCTCTTATGATTCAGGCATTTGCATGAGGAGTCATGGAAAAAAATCCTTATTGATATATAACATTGGACAGTCGCTGAGTATTTGAGGGAGTTTTTAATTTGAAACCTCAAGTAGCAGATGCTGGAAGCAGCAGGAGACTGAAGTAGCCGTGGCTATGTGAAGTGCATATTTAAAACCATCCATACCAAACTTAAAACTAAGGCAGGTGTTTTCAAAAACTGCACATATGCCCAGCTTAAAATACCAAGTTCAGTCATTTGACATTGTAGATGACCCACATGTCTCTTAATTCCTGCAGCAATCAGTAGAGATTGTGGGCTTTTGAAGAGAAAGCCAGAGGTGTCAGCCTAGGACAGCTGGGATCAGCGGGCAGCTTTAAAGAGACTAGCTTTAGACTCAGTCCTTCTCTTTGCTGAACCCTCTTAATGTGTCCTTGGCAGTTTAAGAGGCCAGAAGATTTAAATCTTATGTTTGTTGAAAGAGTGACTTGTACTTGGAAGAGGAGGAGGCTGCTGAAATTCCCCAAGCAAAGCAAAGCAGTAAGGCCGTTGGATTGACTTAACACAAATTTTTTCCTTGCTCAGGTGGCACTGGAGATGCTTTTCACGGGTGAACCTCTCTCTGCCCACGAAGCACTAATGCACGGGCTCGTCAGCAAGGTGGTACCAGAAGACAAGCTGGAAGAAGAGACCATGAAAATCTCTCACAAGATCTGTGAAAGCAGCAAGTCCGTGCTGGCCCTGGGGAAAGCCACCTTTTACAGACAGATAACCCAGGACCTGGACACTGCTTACAAAATGACTACTCAGGTCATGGTAGACAATCTGACTTTGAGGGATGGGCAGGAGGGTATCGAAGCCTTTATCCAGAAGCGTAAGCCAGTCTGGACACACTCTCAGGAAGAGAAGAAATGAGTCCTGCCTCTTAACTAACCTTAGCTGTGCTTTGTGATTCTTCACGCAGTTGCCTTTGGGAATTATATTTTTGTTCTTACTGAAAGTTAAATTTGTCTTCTTGCATATGCCAGACACAATAAATTTATTCTAAGTATGTAATAAATGTTAAGAAACATCAAAGAAAAAATGGGTTTTCTCAGCAGTGAATTTAATCTGTGGTTTTAGAAGGAACTCTGTGCTGCAAAAATCAGTTTAAGATGTCCCAGGTTACTTAGGGAGTCACAGGGACTGAGAGAGAGCTCAGATCGTCCTGTTCAGTACCTCTCCCCATAGTTCTAGATGAGAATTTCCATTTATTAATAGAGATTGAAGGGCTTGGACACATTCCAGAGATGATGGTAGTACATGTCATAATGGATTCCAGGACTGTTTGGGTGTTACAGACAGAAGCCTGTAATAGTGATCCATTACTCCTTATGGATATATCTGCTTATGAACTGTATGTATCCCACAGCAAATCCTGATTTTCTACTATCAGTTCAAGCACTTCTCCCAGCTCTAGAGAATTGTGCTGTTGACTCCAGGGAAGGATGAGCGTGGCTTGGGGCAAAAGTCACCCCATGGGCTTCAGCAGAGATCCTCACCTGGCAGTGACTTGACCCAGCTGTAATTTTCAGGCTGTATGTGTTCAGTTTATCACAGAATCTTGGATGTATTAGTTGGCAAGTCCATCTTTGTGCTCAGAGCTGGGCTTTTACCAGCACTGGAGCAGTTCAGCTGTGGATTTACAGACTTGACAACCTCCTACAACAAGGATTCAGCTGCTCCTCTGGGTAATCTCTTACAGTGCTTTGCAACCCTCCTGCTGAAATATTTTTTGTTAATGTCCAGTCTGAGCCTTGAAGCAGAATTTTTTTGTCCATTGCCCCTGGTTACATTATCTGACATTGTTGAGAAAACTCCAAATCCATTATCTGTGTAACTGTCTTCAAGCAGTCACAGGCTGCACTTACACCACACTGATGCTCCTGTGTGCCAGACTGAACAAACTTCCTCCACCCTCCCCGTAGGTCAGGTTCTCTAGGTAACCAGCTTGGCAGCCCTGCAGTGGACCAGTTCCAGTTTCTCCACATCCCTTTTTACTGGTTGTGCCAAAACTGGACTGGAGTCTAAATATGGCCTCACCAGTGCTGAGCAGAGAACAAAATATGCCTTCCATGTGCTGGCCAGTGAGTCCTGCTCAGGGTGCATTTTGTCTGGTCTGGGATGAGAGGGCACTGCTGGCTCTGCTGCAGCCATTCATCCACTGTGAGCCCGGTTCCAGGAGGACTGTGCTCTGCCAGTCCTCTCTTAGCCTGTACTGGTGCTGGGGTTATTCTTCCCAGGTGCAGAAACTCACATTTCTCCTTAGATTATGTTTTTTGGGATTGAAGCCAGGCCCTTCGGTGTGGCAGTCACTGCCTCAATTCCATATCACCTGCAGGCTTGCTGAAGATCTGTTACTGATGGTGATACTGAGTGATACAAGTCTTCATATCAATCCATGGTGATCAACATGGGATGGCCTCCCAGCAAAGGCATTTTTTCTGAAGTTCCACACAGCCAAATCATGAAGGCTCATCCATCTCATCCTTAAATAGACATCTAAGCAAGATCAGGTGAATCACTGTATGGATGGGCCTTTTATTCTTTGTTGACAGTAAAAGTAGCCCAAAGTGCTAAGCACAGACTTAGATGTCTTCAGTTAGATCAAATTAATCCTGCCTATGGCTACTAAAACTCCAAATGTGGAAGCATCATGAATCAGGAAGGATTTTTTTAAGGTATGTTGGACCCACATCCTTGGTTCCCTGTCTGTCTGAATGTTAGTTCATTCCTCAGTTCTCCACTGGAGTGAATCAGATCCCCAGTAAAGTCCCAGGACTGTCCCCATAGGCCTTTCAGTGAAACCAGTGACATAAATACTTTTACCATTTATACATATCCAGCCCCACAATGCAATTCTCTTTCCCAGCTACAGGTTGAAAAGAAAGAATTTTTCAGTTCTGCTGCAATTTTTACTTTGAGGAATGGAAACTTAAACTTGAATTCACCACTGAACATAATTTGTTTCTATGGAAAAGAGAAAAAAGGGGTATATTGGGACTAGTTGTTTTAAAAATATAAATTTTTATTGTTACCACCAGTAAAGATGGGTAAGTTTATTAAAAAAAACTCACACAGTTCATATAAGTTAGGAACTGTTATGAGCAATTAAGAGATAGAAGAGTTAAATCTGGAGCCCAATAACCTTCATCATGTCCTTTTCAATGCAGTAAGATGCTGCACTTAGACTCTGTTCCCACATGCTGCTCTAAAAGCATTAGGAAAGAGTAAATTGTTTTAAAAAATATTTATATTTAATGGCTATCTTGCAACTACTCAGCAAATCTTAACTGGCTCTTATGTTCCAGGCTTTTAGAAATAAGTACATTATCTGATTTTTGCAGAACAGTGCTCTTTCCAACTAACTGCAGTAATAAAATGGTTTCACTGGCCATCTTAAAGCATAAGTGACAGTTTAGATGAGCACATTCTTTCAGATATTTAGAAATTATTCTACAGCTAATTGCCATCTACACTGGGTGGGGTTTGGCATTGTTATTAGTAGTAGTATTATTAGTATTATTATTAACTCATGCTTGCAATTTTTGAAGGAAAAAAATGCATTTTAAAAGAATAATTACTTCATTTGAAATAGTTGTACCACAGTGGAATCAAATTATTCCTGCACATGGATTCATTCAGTTTGAATGGCCTTGTAGGACACTAATATTCCAAAGACACATAAGTGTCCTCAGGCTTTTCACTATGAGCAGAAGTTAATGGAAGTGCTGTGTAAAGTTAAGAACAGGCACACTTGAGCAAGACAAAATGATGTTGGGAGGGGAAGTTAACTATCAGAAATGGTGTCCTGGTTGGTTATGTGATAGGGAAAGGTTAGGACTGTTACCTTTATCCTTGGCTTACCCTGTAGAAGACCGAGCACCATAATGTCTTGAGCTCCTTCACAGTTCAAATCTGTGGAAGCTGAGGAAGTACAATGCTCTGGGCAACTGAGTTCAGATCCTAAAGAACACTTCTTTTCAAGGCTCGTGGTATTTTTCAGTCTAATTCACAGGTATGACAAATGTTTGTCTTGTACTTTCAGATCTTGAGTAGAAAAAATATGTTTTAACTCAGTTTTCACTCTATTTGTACTATTTAATGCAATAAAGCAATTATGTAATTATAGAATCATAGAATCATCATAGAATGGTTTGGGCTCGAAGGGACCTTAAAGATCATCTTGTTCCAACCCCCCTGCCATGGGCAGGGACACCTTCCACTAGACCAGGTTGCTCAGAGCCCCATCCAACCTGGCCTCGAACACTTCCAAGGATGGAGCATGCACAGCTTTTCTGGGCAACCTGTGCCAGTGCCTCACCACCCTCACAGTAGAGAATTTCTTCCCAGTATCTAATCTAAACCTACTGTCTTTCAGTTTAAAACCATTCCTACTTTTCCTGTCACTACATGCCCTTTTAATTAGTAATCATCAGTTCCATAAATGGTGGCATCCACAGGAGCATTTCTCTCTTGCTTGAACCACTAGACAGAAAAACTTCAGCAGGTTTTATAACATTCCTGCACTGGCCCCTGAAGACTGACAAAACAATTTTTCATTTTGGACTTGCGTGGGTTTTTTATTTTTGCCCACATCTGCCTTTATTGTTTAATTTAATGGACTTACAAGCTATTCCTGGGAAACAGAGCAGTTCCAGAATTGTTAAATAAGTTCTACAGCCAAGAAACAGCAAACCAAATGATGTATTGGGAGCCTTACCAGCGTGGTTATCTGCTGCCTGAGGGAAGAGTTTGTCCCAAAATAGCAAGGAGCCTCTTCCTTGTCACCCCATTCATTTTTATTAAAGGATCTCTCTGCAACAATGTCTGCCAGGTAATTAGCCCAGTTTCAAGTGACCCTAATAGCATGTGGCACACACTTAGCCTTCTCTGGAAACTAAGCACAACCCCATCTTCATACAGCCTCTGGGATGCAGCTTATCCCTGGAAATGTCCAACAGGGACATGTTTTCTGTTCATATGGACAGGAACAGCTGGAATGGAAACCAGTCAAGAAAATGCAGGCAAGGAATTGCCAGTATGAATGGACTGAAGTACCTCAGAATGCAGGGAGGCCTTAAAAGAATGACTCTGAGCCTTTACCTGCAAATCTTAGAAAAGATATATACAGGCAAAATCTAGAGGATATGGTCATGTCACTTGTGATGTAGCTTCAGGCTCCCCTCATGAACAAGGCAAACCTAAAGCCAGGGACCAGAGACAAGGAGAGTAACACTCAGCACAAGGTTGTTCCTAATTCATGGACCAGGCAATGACCTGCCTCACCACGTCACCTGGGGGATATATGCTGAAGACAAACAGAGCACTTGGGTGATGAGCAAGGTATTTGTTCCACAGAGCCAAAGGACAGTTTATCTAAGCTTTTATATGAACTCCATGCAGTTTCCTTAAGGCTGCCCAACCCAGGATTCATCAACCTGGGTAAGAATTAGTTTCACATCGGTTTTAAGTAATCTCCTGTAGCTGTGGAGGAGAGAGCTTGAAAATATGAACTACAAAGGCCCCAAAAGCGGGACACAGTTAATATTAAAAATGCCTGACTACCTCACTGGCAGGAGTCAGCATCCGAGTTTTCCCCATCTAGCTCATGATTCCTGAGCATTTGGATGGCAACACTGTGTCCTTCACAGAAATGCCTCTGGGTAATTCCTCTATTGTCATTCCTGTGTTGCAGATGGGGAAATTGAGGCCAAATGAGCTGTGCCTGAGGTCTCACAGTGAGCCCATGGCACTGGAACAGGGGCACTTGGAATGCTGACACCTGCTCCCTGTAATTCTTCAGCAACAAAGTTTTTGGTAAAATCAGCAGAAATTCAGGGTGATTGTGTGCCCTGAAGTGACTGCAAAGGCTTCTGGACAGGAATTATGAGCCACTGCATCAAAGGCCCCTTGCTTGACATTTATTGGCTTTTTGATGAATGTTGGGGTAATTCTACTGTCAACAGTTTCTCATTAGGAGCCTGGCAATGTACTTTCTGACCATTATCTTGCTCAATATCACACTCGGCTGCTACAAAGAGCAGGGATTTTATGTAAAACCCATCTATCTCTGTAGCTGCAAACTTTTCTAATAATCCTACATTTAAATAATCTCATGGAAATGCTGGCTGCCTTCTCTAAGCAATAAGGAGAAGAGACAAATGGTTAAATTTCCATGAAGACCTAAAGCTATAGGACAAATCTCATACTGCAATGAGTAGGATTCATTTGTCTTGATTCCACTGGCATTGCACCTCAATTATACTAATTCTGAATTTCCCTACTGAATAATGCATCCCCATCCTGTTTTACACTGACAAAGGAAGGAAAAATCCATCAGAGGTGTACCCTTCTCACTCTCCATAGTATAATGCACCATCTCCTGGCTGCTTGTTGTCAATATTAGCAATTATTTTTGTCAAATCCATAGCTTTTCTAAAAAGAAAATAGCAGACATGTACCCATAATACCACTGTGTATTTGGAAAGGGGAAAAACAGTTTGTTCAACTTCGATGTGGCCAACTGCGGTAATTTTCACACTATGAGTTTTAAAACATTAATACTTATTTGGAATATTTGTATCCTGGAGTCGTGATAATGGGAGCATCACAGGGTTATTGTATATTTTATTGATCATGTTAAGAGAAAAAAATTGAAAACAAAACCAGGTGATAAAATAACTAACTGAATTTGTACTACTAAAATTTAAGCCAGATCCATGGGTTTGATTCATGATTATTGTTCCTAGCTGCTTAATATGAGAGACTTTAATTTTCCCTCCAAGTTCACTGAAAATAAACATTCCTCCAGCCTAGGTAAAAACAAAACCAACTCTCTAAACTAACTTGCATAGCAGTGCAAGTTATCCTGTTGGACTTAACATGGTATTGATCTCATCCACTGACTGTGCTGAAGGAACATCCCCTCCTGCAAAGGCGGAATGGGTATGGATGGCAACATTTTGGCTCCTTTAGAGCCACGTGTCAGGAAGTCTGATGTAATGGGCCATGTCTCAGGGAGTGGAAGCTCCAGCCATAACCTGCTTTCTGAAGGAGCTTTTAAGGACAAATTAACTGCAGTAAGAGAATGTTGACATTCAGGCTGCCTCAGCTGCTGATGACAGAGAAGGCGTCAGGCCTTCCCAAGTGGCACTCGGGTTTTATTCCAGACCTGTCCTCCTATAAACAATTACAGTGGATGAAATCATGTTTGGAAAGATGAGTGATGTTTTCCCTGTCATCTCTGCCCTGTCAGCATCAAGGATAACGTGATAGATATACCTGCTTCCGTCTTCTCCACTTCCTGGCCCAAAATCATTCTCAGTGTAGACATTGAGTGATGCTTCTGGAAGGAAACAATAGAGAATTAGGAAACTGTATAGAGAACATGGGGGAAAGGAAAAAGCAAGTGAACACGTGAAGTCATCCTCCTAATGTGTTCTTCAGTCTAGAAATTAATATTTTGCTCCCTGTACCCGTTTAATGAAATACACCCTTCATGCTATTAAAACTTTATCCTCTGTTGTTTAAGGGAGTTAATCATGTAACAAAATCCTCAGTTAATCATGTAACAAAATCCAATAAATACAGACATGGTGAATACTTCTCAGCTAATCTCCCTTCTCTTTCAAGACCTCACTAGATTAGGTTATACATATTTTAAATTAGTGTGCTTTTTCTTTTATTTTTTTTTGTTTGTCTGCTGTTGTTGTTGTTTTTGATGGAATTCTTATTCTGCTTTTTCCCTCCCTCCCTGGGGCTTAATTTTAATATCTTTTTTTTTTAACAAATGCTAAGATTTTTCTACAAGTACACAAATTTGTAAAGCTGTACAAAATACCACATCATACTTTAAAACCTGGTAGCACTGCCATAAATACTGCTGTGGGGGAAAACATCAGGTTTTAATGCAAAACCTGTAAGAAATGAAAGAGATGTAACAGATGAAAGAGCAGAGCAGTGAGAGAATTTGGCTCTCTGAAAGGAGGCCCCTCAGGAGAAGCACTGAGGTGCTCTCCAGAGCACCCACACAGAGGAGTGAAAAAATGACCTAATTTACCCCTTTTTCATTGGGACCAGCAAGAATATCCATGCAAGGACAGTCAGCCCCTTATTCATTAGCCTGAGGTAATTATTAATTATCAACACTATTACTTATTGTTGCTATTATTCTTGCTATAATCTACTTAATGCAGTGACACCACTACAGTTCAGGAATTTAGATTTTGATGTCTCCTCCCCATAGCTGGGCTTGGAAACTGCTTTTAACTGCTGAAATCAGAAGCCTTTGCTGCTTGAGTGGGGGAATAGCATTTGTCTGGCAGCAAGAGAAGACTTTCATCCTTTTACAGAGCCTGTGAAAACACACTTAGTCCTTACCACATACTCAGCATGGTAAAATGGAAGTTGCCAAAGATAAAAGTCCTTTTTCTTTGCTGTCTGTGGATATTCCTGTAAGCTTTTAGTCTTTTTCCACATGAGCATTTATTCAGAGCAGACAACCCAGGAATATTTCCATGGACAGCCTGAAATCTTTATGAGGCACTGGGTGGTTGAAATGCAACACCAATTTATTCAGCACTCACAAGGACCAAACCAGCAGAACCCAAACAGTAAATTTACCACAGGAAAAGTCCTGGTAAAGAGTTCAGTGGCAGTTCATAGGCTGAAAAAACACTTGTCAAAATGTCCTAGACCTTTCTGTCCCATTTGTCACTATAATATTTAATTAAAGACATTCCTATAGTCATTTGTTAGATAATTCTGAAATGTAAATAAGCGGAAAACATATTTTAAGGCCATGGACAAAAAAACCCCCAAACAACAAGAAATCAAACCAAACAAAAAACCTCACTGCTGGTTTACTTTCTGGCTTTCTCACATAACTCCACTGTGACCTTGGACAAACTGACAGGCAGAAAAGAATTGTGACTGTCCAGTCCAACCTCCTATTAATCATAGGTCATTGCTTCCTGGCCTGCTCTACCCCTCAAACAGCATTTGAATTTCAGCTTTGGTTGACCTAAGGAGCTACCTATCGTTGTGAGGAAAAAAATTTAAAAGGAAAAAAGAAGAGGCAAAGGGTGTGATCTGTTCTCCTTGCAGTCAGGACTTGTAGTTTATTTCTGCTTTGA